AGACCAATCACACATAGACTACAGCTGGTTCTCAAAATTCCCAAAGAAGTGAACATCTCTGCAATTCTCCCAAACAGATATTTCATGAAGAATAATAAGAGCAATAATTAAATCTCCAAATCTTGGCCTGATGAAAAGACTCATTCGTGCCAGCTGTATCAAGAGTTGTCCAGAAAAAGAAACAATAAAATTTGTTCCCCTTTTTGAAAATATGTACAGCAGCAGTTATTGGAATTATTTTTAGTTGCTTGGCTGTATTATTAGTTCTGAACAGCTCTTGAAAGCTGTGGAATAGAAATAAAGACCAATTGCCGGTAGCGTAATAGATAAAGAAAGTCAATTGCAGTGAAATTGGATTGCATTCCCTACCTATTGGAAGGCATGACATTCTTCCATCACCCCTCAGTCCAGAAGTGATGACATATCCTTTTCTGTAGACCTGTGGTTCCCATCCTTTGGTAACTCAGGTATTCTTGAACAGGAACTCCCAGAAGCCTTCACCACCATGCTGGACGGCGTTTCTGAACATTGCAGTCCAAAAACACCTGAGTTACCCAAGGTTGGAAACCACTGCTTTAGACCTATACTCTCTGTCCTGTAAAGCCAAATCCAAAGTATTTCCAAATTTGTAATCTATTTGGTCCAATAGAGATGATCACCATTATAAGAAGGCTACTTCATTTATGTTTTCTGTTTCTTTTTCCCAGTAGCCCTTAGAATCTGAAGTCTATTCTGTTGGTAGAAGGGCTCTTTCATTTTGCTGATGGGGACTTGTCTCCTCAAGCCCTACCATCCTTTTTGTACTTAACACACAGCTGTAGCTAAAGTAAGCCTGTTAAATCAATGGAAATTACAGAGATGACGCACATCTCTGATTCAATAGGCCTACTCTAGTGCAACTTAATATACTAAGTAACAGGATTTCATGCAGCCTCTAGAAGCATTGCAGGGGAACACAGAAGTCTTTGTACTATATTGTGACAATTTTGTTTATTTTGCATTAAGAGCTTTGTTATGGTTAAGTTTCAATTGTTTTCCCGAAAGGACAAGCCAGCTATAGGTTTTAAGCTCCAACAAAGTTATAATGCTTAGCTGCAAGACAACTTGATTTACTCAAGCTCAGCACTGTCTATAAAAAGGGTGATAAGAACTCTGTAGCTAGCTGCTTCCCAATTCATGTCACTGCTGTTTCTGTAAAATATATCTCGAGAATACATTTCTGTAAAATAATTTGTTCAGGACTTATTTATTTTTTTTGTTCCAGAAGCGCATAGATGATTGACCCACAGGAACCAGCAGATCTGGGTGACTTGCATGGCGAAGATTAACAACAGCAATATCCAAAATGATACATCTCCAAATGTTACTACTGAGACAAAGAAAGCTTGGAGACATCAAGAATGGCTTTTTCATAAAAGGAGTATGAACCACATTTGGTTCTGATACACAAGCAATTTCTGGGGTCAGAATTCTTTTAAATATGTACCTTTCACACACCACACTCCAGTTTGTGAACCTTGGGACAGCAGGTAGAGGGGGCAAAAACTATGTTTGCTGCCCTTGGAAAGAACAAAAGCACTTATCTGTTGCCTTGGTGTGCATCTTTGGCAGAAATTTGATAAACCCAGTAGAAAAAGTGTTCAATTGTAATAAGAAGCATTGTACCAGTGTGGCCATCAGTGAGAATTATTTGTGTATTGACCTTTGGGCTGCAGTCTTATATCCATTTATTTGAAAACAGCTGCACTGAACTCAGTAATTTTTATGACAGAATCTACAACCACACAGAAAAAGCTGTGTACTTCCTTCTCCAGTACTTGACAAGCATATTAATGAGGATTTTGAATTAATCAGTGTTAATTGACAACCCAACAATTCTATATGCTACTGTTGTTCTTCCAGCTTTGAACTAGAATAGGGTTTTGAGTTTATGAGGAAGATTTGAGGATTTGTTTATATTATATCACACTATCTTAAAGCAAAAGGTAATAGCTTGCAGAAACAACTCCCCTTTCCTTTGAGAATGGACTGCACTAGAAATATTTTCCTTCAAGTATTATGGCGATATATTTCACAGCAGATAGAAATTTAAGAAGTCAAATTGAACAACTTTGCCTTGAGGTATCTAATTCTTCCATGGTAATATGTAAAAGGGGAAATTTGATCAATGTTTTATTGCAAATCTTTGAAATCAGAAGTATTTCAGTGATCCTATAGCAGATAAATATGAATATGAGAAACATGACTTAGGTGCATCAAGCACATAATATGGGATATTTCTTCTGTCCATGATTCAAAAATCTGGGAAATGACTCACATTGTCTTGCAATATCATGCCTGCATTGCCAGGAGGAGAAAGAATGTCAGGCTTTACATAGCAAAGGCCAGCCTGAATGTTGGTATCACCAGTGTCAGAAGTCATGATGGTCTACAGTAGTGGTTCCCAATCTTGGGTGAAGGCTTCTGGAAATTTTAGTCCAAGAATATCTGGTGACCCAAGTTTAGGAACCACTGGTCTACAGGATTCCCTCCTGGGCCCACTAACATTCATAAATAGCTACCAAGGCAAGAGAAAATCCCAGACTCTGGTTCTTATTTTCATCAGTTAACCACCCAAACACAAATCAATTCTCATGGTTGTTTTTCAGCAAGTGCTCTAGCTATTTATTGCTTAAGGCACAAAGCAGTATGAATGTTCAGAAGAATTTTCAATTACTGGGTCTTATTTTAAAGTTTCGACTGGAAGTCAAATTGCCTGACTTGTCTGAGACTTTTGCGCTACACAACCTATGTCCCTGTAGACATCAGTGTTGCACACACACCTCACTTCCTGAATTACTATATGCCATTCAATAAAAAGACTCATGGAGCAGCAAATGTCAACTATTCATCTTTCTACAGAAATTTATGCATCATCACCTTCTGTTGAGCACACTGATAGTATTTCCTATTCAAAGATGAGAACAGTAGCTACAGCTAACAAGATCAAGTGGTCAGATGAGAGAAGGCATAATGATTCCAGTTTGTGTAAATGAGTTGTTTATAACATTGGTGTGTTAATTGTTTAGATGGATGGATGCAGATTGGGACTGCATGCATGGGAAGAGTGCTGGAATGATTGACAGGTGGGTATGGCAATACTGCCTGGAATAGCATAATCTGTTTTCAGCTCCCACACCAATCAAAACATTCCTTCATTCAAAGGCAAGGCTACTTCTTTACATTCTCCTACTATCTTATACCAACTCACACCGCTAGTCAATCCAACTTGTAACCATCTGGCTGATGACAGTTTTACACAATTTCAGAGAAGAATTGTTCCCAGATCTGGAGATGCCTGGGACTGAACATGGAATCTTTTACATGCAAAGCAGGCATTATACCACTGAGGTCGAGGCACCTATTTGCCCAGGAATTTACTGCATGTTCCCCATGAATCATGAAATTTGGTGCAAATGTTGTAATCATCTGAAGTACCAGAGCCCACTTTTCTTTCTTAGTGATGATTGGAAAAAAGTATCAACACCCATTATGACTAAGAAGTAGAGACGGCAGTACAGATCACTCTGAGTGTGTGTTAAGCACCTGTTTCCTAGTAATTACTTGAGTTATGAGGAATGGTGGGTGGGAGGTGAGAGATATATAAGGCAGTTCAGGGAGACAGTCACCCAGGGGAATTCTTTAGGACACCCGAAGAGGCCTCTCCACTTTCACACTTCTACACAGTTAGCTATTTTAGGTCATTCGATACAATCCCAGGAGTCAAGAGTAGTTCACAGGAGATGGGATCCCAGAGGGATACATCTGGCATCAACCCCCTCTTGAAGTCAAGCCAGGGGCCATAGGTTTTCAATAAAGGAGAGTAAAATAAAACCTAGCTATAGGTCCAAGATACATAGGTTTGCTCCCAATAAGTATCTGCAATTTGTGCTGTCTAACCTTCTTCCCACACACAACTAACAGACTGACAAGTTTCAGAGGGGTTAAAATCACCACATACCTTATGGATGTTAGCAGTAGGAAGCAAGTTTCCTATTACTGTTTGATTTCATGACAGACATGGCTTTTTGGCCTCTTCACTTCATCAGAGTCGCAACAGCTGCCAGGCATGGCTTACAGCATATGTAAAATGTAAACTAAAACTCAGCACCCAAGAACCTTAAAGAGCCAGTCTGGTAAAGCAGCCTCTTTTCCTTCTGTTTACAAAACTCTGCAAAGAAACATGTTAACTTCCAACAATTAGCAGCTAGGAACACTTATCATATGTACTTTCAGAAGCTATCCCTCCCTTCAGTCCTGAACAATACTAATGTTAATGACAACCATGCCTAGCTAAGAGACCCAAGAGATAAACAAATTAACATAATATAATCTAAAAAGCAGGGCAACTCTTTTACTGAGATTATGGTGATTTACAAGGAAAAAAAGGAAAAAATGGAAAAGGAACTTTAATTCAGAGGGCCATGTCATCTAAGATTTCAGGCAACTAGTTTTCTAGTATGATTTAAGGAGAAGTGTTTGTACTCAGCATGCCTGTTTTCCAACTCACCAGAGTGCCTCCTCCTCCTTATTGGTGACTAACATCTCTGCTCCTAAAAGCCACCCAAGACAGTGTGGGATTGGAAACATCTACAATAAGAATTAGGCTCTCAATTGCTTTGTTGTTGTTATACCAAAGTATGCCTTGCCCCTTCCTCCTGAAGGAACCACCGCATCACAGGTGACACCCCCACCATAAAGTGGCTTTGGAAATGGTTCATCAGTCTCCTATGTTTTGAGCAGGAATAAAGTCAGAAACAATGCTGAAGCGTTAGAAGATTCTGACACTAGACAGGGCTATGTTATGAACACTTAAACATTCACAAGGGTAAGTGCATAGTACTGTGATTTATTAATACTGCTCTTACCAGCAAAGAAGCAATGTCTTTGAGATCCACAACACAGGACCTAAGCCTTCCTCTTTCTCTCTACATTTTAATCAGGTGTACAACCTGAGTGCTAGTGCTCTTCAGCAAAGAGAGAGGGGTCCATAAAAATAATGGAAGAATTAACAGTAGGCTCACATAACTTACTCAACCGTCTACAGTGTCCACTTAATAATGACTGGTCACATGGAAGTAAAACAGACCAATTTCTCGCTTTCAGTTGATATGTCTGTTAAACCAAAGTTCACCCTTCAGACTCTTGACCTCACTGACAACTTCTGCAGCTTCCAACATGTAGCATCTCTACACATTTGGGAAATGCTTTCTGGTATCAATCACATCATCAAATGCTCCATCACAGCAGAAACATCACAACAACAAACAACTGTGCTGCCTGAAAGTAGATGTTTTTTTAGGTGGGAAGTGCTAAGTTTACCACAGTTTCCAGGCATGTGTACACAAATGAAAAATCTTCATGATCAGATGGGCATTTGTCCCACGGTTTGGTCCAGGTTGGGAACAGATAGGTTTGTTCCTTTTTCCAGCAACCATACAATGCATGCACCATCACAAAAAAAAAAAAACAAAAAACAAAAAAAACTGTTCCTGATTAATGCCTAACTGCACTTTTTCAGGTCCCTGTCAGGGGCTACTATTTGTTGTTCTTTTTTGAAGCAGAAAAGATCACTCCATTTTGGTCTGGTTCCAATGTGTGTGACTGCTGGGATCAAACCAAAACAGATAATTTAACTTTCACCAGAAAGCTTCCTTTGTGCTTGCCTGCAGAGGGGAAGAGAGCAGCAGTTTTTCATTTCGTTTTAAACTGTTGCCAATACACAAGTGCTGCATGAAAAGGCATCACTGATGTGCTATTTCAGTTAGCAACAATTAAAAAGAAAGTGAGAACATATTCTCCCTTCCATTGTGCAAGTGAATGGGAAGGAAGTTTTCCATTTCTCAAGTGGCTTAAGCAAAGCACAGAAGAAGAGACAAAGAGAAGAATTTGTTGTTGTTTTTCTTTACCTTCAAAAGGGAAAGAAAATCAGTTTAGGTCATACTAAACAGGACTGCTTGAGGTGAAGTGTGGTCAATCTTTGCTTGTGGTTGCAAGGATCACACCAAATAACACACCTTACCTCAAAGTAACCATGTTTAACATGATCTAGACTGATCCAGGCCAGGATAATTGGGCCACCTAGTCACACCCTCAGAAATGGAGCAAGGAAAATGTTCTAGTTTATGATAAATTCTGGAAAGAGAGAAAAGACCCAGCCGTAAGGGAAGAAAAGAGCACTGTTTTTCTATGTGATCAGAAGTAGCACTGATGGAGTCTGCAGTACTTAAAAATATACATACTCAAGCTACATTAGGTGCTAAATCTTAAACACAACTCCTTTGGGGAGTGTGTTCTAAAGTTTGCATGTGTGCTGAGGGCTGGACAAACAATAACCACCTACCACTAACCATGGGGGGGGAGAGGAGGGGGGCCCTTTCAGCACACTTGGCAATCTCAAGTTTTATTTTATACTTAAATAAGATGCTCCTCTTGGCTTAAGAAATCATTGCTAACACTCCCTTTATGTTTTATAACAGGGACATGGACTAGCACATAACAGAGATACGTATGTGGAGAATAAGTATGTCAAGCTAAAGATACTGAGCTCTAAGTCCAATACTATTTCTCTGAAGGTTGCCCATCAGTATTTATAAACATGCCTGTTTCAATGGTATTACATAGCCTATTTTAAATTCCCATAGTATTTGTGAGAAAACTAAATTTGTTCCGATTTTAAATGCATGATAACATTAGCTGACTGCAAACATGTAAAATTTTGTCCCATAGTAGGAGGAGGAGGGCATTGCACAAACTGACATCAAGACTGGAGGTGTCTAACCTAACATGTTGGCACTTCACAGTGACAGGCACTTATGGCTCAAGTGGTGAGGAAGAAAGATTACAAGGTCATACTCCAAGGAATTCACACTAAACATTAAACCAGTTTTTCAAGCTTCTGTGTTTAGAAACTTCCTTTGTCGTAAAAAAAAGAGAAGCAGCTATAAACAGAGATATTTGTCCCTTTTGAGCATGTAAAACATCTCCTTTTTGTCCCAATTCCCTTTCCAAAAAATATTCTGTGGTGGGTATGCCAGATGAGAGATCCTCTTCATGCTTCCGCTGCCGGCTTTCCCAGCTTCCACTGAGGTAGGTCACATACACCCCCACCTGACATGGTGAGGGAGGGGAACTTGGCCACTCAGTCCCTTGTCACTTTACCAGACTTGAGTTGCTAAGAGCCCGAGGGATTGCAGATTTCTTGAGAATTCCAGTGGTATACTTAATCTGAGGTAAGCTTTGAGTGCAAGAATTTGGCTCAGGGCTTCGGGCTGGCTCCTCTCCATCTCGTTGGCCAGGGACTTTGCTACTGGGAAGAAAGCACAACTTGAAAAAGACACGCATCTTTCTTCCATCACAAAACAAACTGCACACAGAACTGTTTCCAAGCCCCACCATTTTCATCAGTCTAACACTGTAGATTTTATTGCTATGGCGATGTCACTTTTGTATAGGATTGGGAAATACAGATTTGAAATGTCTTGTTGCCATTTAGGCCTGACTATATCAGATACCTACTGAAGTAATTTGAAACGGGGTCAAGATAGTGTATGAATTTAAATTTAGTGCTACACTATAATTTAGTGCAATGAGAACAAGAATGCTTAATTTTTCCACCCCACCCTGGCATTTGCCAGAAGACCTGAATCACCGAGTTCCTATTTTAAACTGACTGCAGTTTGTCTCTACATCCAAACCAGGAAATGTGGTTATTCTCAACTACAATTTTATTTAATAACATAGAAAAGAAACAATTGTTTAATCTTTGCTTGTTTCAGTTAAATCTGTGCAGCACGCATGTCCATCAGCGGCGACATTGGGCCTATTGCAAAAGTAGCATGATCGACTCTGCCCCACCTCACCGTGCAGCCAACCACTCCAGCGAGGAGGCGGGATGATGAGTCTTCCTACTCAGCTGTTCAGCATTCAGCTATGTGGGAAGGTGGGGCACAGCTGGAAGAGCTACTTCTGTGACTGACGTGATATTGCCACTGATGGGCATGCACACTGCACAGAGCCCAATAAGTGGACTGAGCTGGTTCTGGGAGAAGGGAATGGACCTCCGTAGCACCTGTGGTGCTGCGCTTCGTATTTTTTCCCCCTGGGATGTGAACACAAAGCTCCCATCTCTTCACTCAGTCACCTAATTCCAACTCTTCACTCAGTCACCTAAAGTGAGCCCCAATAAATTCAGTAATGCTCCCTTCTAAACAGATACACACAAGCTTGCACAGAAAGAGAGGAAATGAAGACAACTGCCAAACATAATTTTTTTTTAAAAAAGGGATGCAACATCATGTTATCTCGTATTATCTCACCTGGCTCTCCCTGACTCCACCTTGCTGAGGCCATTCACATGGAGCTCATTCTTCAAAAAGAGGTGGGGTCTGGGCAGCGTCCACTGGAGGTAAGAGAGTGCAGAGTAAGACAATTAATGGAGAGGCCATTTATAGGCTGCTGTGAGAAGTGTTCCCTCCCCCTTTCCCAACACATTCCATGCAATCCCCAAAGGTACAAGATACTTGTAGCTAGTATTTAGAATAAATACATTAACCAATTTATTTCAACTATACATGTTTGGTTAGAAACAAGCAAGGAAGTTGGAGTTCTGACTGTCACACATACAAAAGAGTAAAAGAAAGCCAATTCTACAGGGAGAGTTCCATTCTTACCATTATGGTGGAATCTGTCACTATTCCATTGTGATAGCCTTTGTGGCACCAACTTCTGAGCAGGTCCAGTCCTGGAGGGGGGGGGAGCCACACAGTGAATGCAGATCATACAAACCAGACTTGCAGTTACACCAGTTATAAGAATTCATGTTAAGTCCAGGCACACTAAGTAATGTGTTCCCAACTGATTGAACAAAGACAGCAGGGGTACACATAATATTCTTACACACACACTTTAAAATCAACCTATGTGTACAGCTTTTCTTTTGAAAATAGGAAACTTACCCCATCTATGTTATGAAACACTACAGCTATACCCACTGTTAAATGGGGGATTCTCGTGAAACAGATTCAGAGAACTCCATGAAGTTGGAACAGAGACCAAGCAAGAAACAGGAATAAAGAAACACTTCTTCTCTGAAACAACATAAGTGACTGCAAGTTTCCAATTTTCATCAGGAGGTCTGGGGAGTGGTAAAGATGGTAAAAATGACCCAGCAAGCACTCGTAAGGGTGCTAACTAAAATGCTTTGGGTAAGAACTCAGAGGGTTCTAGACTGGAAAGCTGCAAATGCCATTCACCACGAATGGAGAGTTCAAATGATTCAATGGCAAGTACTTGTCCTATAAAGCAGAGGACAGCAAGAAGCAGATTGGGACTTCCTGAGGAACTTTCAGGTGATTTGTAGTACATTGATAAGGACTTCTGACTCTCCCAGCTATTTAACAAGAGCAGGAATTTAGAAAAGTTGTTTTACTAGGCAGTTAACATGAAGAGGAGGGGGACAGGAGTGGATTTGTGGATCAAAGATTCTAGCATTCAGAATAAATTCCCAAACTTGGTATATAAATTCAGAGGTCTTGTCTTCACTAATGGTAAATGTATATCTGACCTAACTAGCTTCTATTCTTCACTGAGGTCTGGTTAATGGGGCTTTGACTGCACCAAAACACACAGTAGATCCTTTAAGTGTAAAGCTACCCCTGCTCCCGAGATGCAGAAGTTCTGCAGAAGGAGGTGGCTAGCAGACTTACCTTTGGTTTTATTCAAAAAATACTTCTGCTCCCACTGAGCTGTAAGAATGTTGAAGTATCGTGGCTGCTCAAAGAAGCGCAAGTAGCGCATAGATATGCGGGAGGGGAAGAGTCGCTCAAACTGTCCCCTCCGAGCAAACTCATCCTCTGTCTCTACCAGGACCCGTACATCATCTGGTGTCAGGATATCCAGGATGGTAGAATAGAACTCCTATAGCCAAGAGTAACAGAGAAATACCTTGGTTTTCCAAGAGACAGCTACATAAGCCTATATACATCTTTTAAAACACTGATACAGTGTTTGCCACTTTGGATGCTGCCTTCAATCCCACAATATACTCCCCACAATTGGCAGCAAAAGGACAGAAGAGCAGCATTAAAATAGAAATTTGCCTCCCAAATACTTTAGCCTTCCACTGAGGAAACCACAACCAACAGCATGTGTATGAATAAGAGATCTAAAATATAACTGCATTAAGACACATTATTTATAACTTCCCTAATTAAAAGGAAAAAGCCTGAACCATACAGTTTACATTTTTTCCAGAACTGCATGTATGATGGGTTAAACATTCTGACAGTAACATAGGTCAGCCATTCACAACCTTTTCCTTTATGCAGACAACTACTTCATAACTGAAAACTCATGAACCACCATGTAACCAATACTTTTTTAAACACAGCCTATGGCTAACATGAGCAAAAGTCAAGAATGTTTACTATCAAGAGATAGTGCAGCTACTGCTAATAAGTGATTATGCTTACTGTACTTCCAAAAATGTTGTACTTACAACAGTAGTTTGAGATTTTAAAATATGTTTTCAACAATAAATTTAACTCAATTATACCTGACCAGCCATAGCAAACTATTTCTTTGGATGCCAACCATCATAAAGCACCAGCACCATCTGCACACTAGAAGACGGCATCTGGGCTTTACATCACAACATTCTGCAGCTAATTCCCATTTTAGGTAATAATAACAAAATTGGATGTTGACAGTTCCATTAGCTGCATGGAAACCAAAATGCAGCTGAGGAATGATCACGGGGGTTGAGGGGAACCTCACGTCTGCAGAACTAATTACAGTGGTGCCTCGCATAGCGAGGTTAATCCGTTCCGGATTACCCTTCGCTATAGCGAAACATCGCTAAACGGAATAAAAAAAGCCATAGAAACGCATTGAACTTTGTTCAATGCGTTCCTATGGCTTGAAAACTCACCGTTAAGCGAGGTTCTGCCATAGCGCCGCCATTTTCGCGCCCTCGGTAAGCGAGGGCAGGGCGCAAAAATGCGGCGTGGACCTTCCGGCGGCCATTTTGGAACCGCCGATCAGCTGTTCTCCCCCGCTTCGTTATGCGATATTCACTAAGCGAATCGCTTAGCGAATATCACAAAGCGAAAAATCCCCATAGGGGCCATCGCTGAGCGAATGCTCCAGCGATAGCCCAGAGCGCCTCGTTAAACGATTTCATTGCTCAGCGAGGCGCTCGTTAAGCGAGGCACCACTGTAAACAAAAATGCCCTCCACAAACAGAGTATACTCAATGGCTACGAAATGGTGATGCTCATGGTGGTGGATGGTCTGCAGCATCCTGGCTGGCAGGCAAGTTGAACAACAGCATTCCAAAATACAGCAGTCGGGTACTGGCAAGATCTCAGATCTTACCTGTTAGGACTCTCTTTTGAGGAAAAAAAGTGCTTAACTACACACCAGCCACTTGCTATGGTAAAGAATCATGATCATACAAACAGTAACAGAGGAAGCCTGGCTAAAACACAGATTAGAGAAATAGCAGTGAGGCAAGTGAGTTTGGAGAAAGCCATCTCCCTTCAACCTACTGACCTGATCAGGCACTTTCTGAGTCAAATAATAAGCTCTCTTTGTTTTCTCAGCTGTGAACAGCTCCACAGATGGTCTGCTTTTTTCTTTCATGGCACTATTCAGACTGGGCACAAGATAATTGAAAAGTTATTGCACAAGGAAAAAAGAAGTCACCCATGGCACTACCCTCCTTTAGCATCCCCCCCACACCCCCACAAAGACAGGAAAAGCCTCAAAATGATGTTTGAAGTCAATAAATACACTTTGAAAAATATGTCAGAGGAAGACAAACTGTAGTGTTTCGGGACTAGATCTGACTGTAACCATACATAATTAAACACACAACAGTGTAACCATTGTGATGAAGTGTATTTTTCTAATTAGAGATGGGTTATGTAGTCATGTCTTAACCATAGAGGAATCCATTTTGAGTCTGACACAGGCTAAGTTCTGGAAAATTACTAGTAGTTATTTTCAGCTTTATTCGCTAACCTTATTGCTGCAGCTGGAGAGAAAAACACGGCAGAGTCAAAATATCTCTAACCTGAATGATAAACAATTCTTTGGTGTTGGTGGGAAAGTAGGGCGTACCCTATGCTAATTCTTGCCTTCGTGATTGGTTGAATATGTCAGGAGGGGGCAGGTTGGAGAAATTTACAAGAGGTTGGAAAAAGTAACTGAGAGAGAGAAGGGGAGAAGAGAGTTTTGGGTATCTGAAAACATGGTGTTGAATTTCTTTGATCCAGACGAAGGAACCTAATTTAACAATATGGACTGCGTAAGAATATCGTTTGTTTACCTTAGTTTATAGTTTAGATTTTGTTTTTGTTTAATAGTTAATTTTTATAGAAGGTGCTGAAACGTTATGCTGTTGCTTAGAAATGAAACTGCAGAGAAATGTTTTCTTTGTTCACTTAAATAAACTCATGTTGTTTAA